TCAAGGTGAGGGAGATGATACTACAAGTAACATATGGAAAGCAGAGAGACGAAAAAGAATCACATCCTCTTTAATTGGCCAAATTGCTAAAAGGAGATCAAAAACAAAAGTTGAAAAAGTGGTAAAATTCAAATTGTACAGTACATTTAGGGGAAATTCAGCCACAAGATGGAGAAATGAACAAGAAAAACACGCACGTCAAAAATACATACAAAAACTGAAAGCAAAATCACCTTTGGCAACTTGTAATGACAGCGGACTGGTCATTCATAAGAAGCATCATTGGTTAGCAGCTAGCCCAGATGGATTAGTAAATGATCCAAGCGCAACACCAAGTTCAGGGTTAGTTGAAATTAAAAACCCATTTAAATATAAAGATTCGACAATATTAGAAGCAGCAGAGGCATCAGATTTCTGTTTGAAAAAAGATAAAAATGAAACAATTCAATTAAAAAAAACACACAACTATTATTATCAAGTTCAAGGTGCTATGTTCTGTACAGACACATTCTGGTGTGATTTTGTTGTTAGTACAGAAAAGGATCTATTTGTGCAAAGAATTTCATTTGATAGGCAATTTTGGGAAACAACCATAACTAAACTGAGAACATTTTACTTTACAGCTCTCTTACCTCAACTTGCTGCTCCACTGAATGGAATGATAAGAGAACCTGAGCAATGGCAAAGTGATCCAAAGAGCTGGGAGGAGTGTTATATAAACTTGTAACTATCTTGTGCAAAGAGTAACCTATTTAATCTTAAATGTCATTGTGTACTATAATATATTTCTTCTTACCTGTATATATAGCTTGCAACAGGTAAAACTTATCACTCTATTCCTTATGAAGTAGGGCAGCACAGAGCCTGCCAGCAAATCATAGATCTAGTATAGACCACCCTAGGCGAGAATCGAATGCGTAGGAAGATTATTAGAAATTTTTACGGTTGTAAGGCGTGGTTTGGGATGAAATAAATTTCGGCCGCCATTTTGGTTGGCAACTTTCAATGGAGAACAAACGGGCCGGCATAAAAACAAACCTGTATTAAGAATTCTGGAGCAAATTTGACCAAATCCTTGACAGGAGAAGCTTATAGGCAGCTGTTCTTTCTTATAACAAGCGCTTTTTAGCTATTGATAGAGCTACAGCAGGTAAGTGAGGCATTTTCTTCGTGCCTCCATTGACTTCCATAATAAACTTGCCAACCAAAATGGCGGCCAATTATAATGTGTGGGCAGATACCGTATATAAAATTAATGAAATTCATAACTTTTCCAATTCACGCCTAGGGTGGTCTATAGCCATGCTAATTCTTACTCGTGAGGCCCCGCCTACTTCTAAAATTACATTTTTAATTTTAAGGATTAAAACATTTGCGGTCAAAAAGGTATCCCGTAACCTTAAGTTCTTAGTGCTTTACCCTAACCCTATCTTGAAGTGTGCTTAATTAAATGATGGTAATGGTTAATTTCAGACTTGGGTCAAATACAAATAGTATTTGTAATTAGTCGTATTTAAATACTTTTGAAAGTATTTGTATTTGTATTTGTAATTTGAGTTTTTGCAACAGGAAGTATTTGTATTTGCAATTGAAATACAGCAGGGAAGTATTTCAAAATACAGCAAAATACTTTAAAATACTTTAATGTGGATGAAGATGCTGTTTGAGTGACAAAACTTTGAAACACTAACGTTCACTAAATGCAATACATGACTATAACTAAATATTATTGATTATACATGCATGCATAATGAAAAGAGGCTTTCAATTTACTTGATTGATTAATTCATAAAACTACGTAGTTAATAACTGTCTATACTTGAGAAGAAAGTATTTGTATTTGTAATTGAAATACATGTATGCAGTATTTGTAATTGTATTTAAATACAAAGCTGAAAACAGTATTTGTATTTGTATTTGTATTTTTGTTTTTGTACAGTATTTGTATTTGTATTTAAATACATGTACTTCCACGTTGTATTTGACCCAAGTCTGGTTAATTTATTATTGTTTTTATTTTAGGAAAATTCACTGTTCCATCTGTCAGTGGACAATGTTCTCCTCCAACTAGTTATTTTACATTCAACAAAATAAATGGAAATAAAGGAATAATCTTTGGAGGAGCTGTTACTTATGGAAGGGGGTATTATGGTGGCCTTGGTACACCTACTAATAATGTGCACATATTTAATGTGACACATAAGACCATAGTAAGTTATTAATATTTTTAAAAATTAATTTATATAGCTACCAGTTTTAAAATGTCCTAAGATTGTTTTCGCTTCCTTGTATATGTATATCTAATTATTTTTTTAAACACTGTACGAATCCTTAAATAGTACTGTATAGTGGCACTTTTTCGAGGAGCTTTTTCGAGAATAATAATTTTCGCAATCGACTTGTATTTGGAAGTTTGCAGAATTAATTTTTTGTAAATTCCACTATTCTGCCATCTTGTACTGTATTAAATTGATTTTCAAGGAATTTAATTTTGCAAATTTTGAAAAATCAGCGAAATTTGCAAAATTTGTTATCCTCAAAAAAACTGCTATATGCATGGTAATTGTGTCTTGCTGTGAGGAAAGCTCAAAACTTTATTTGATGATTGTCGTTTTTACATGGCCATACTAATGTATCTGCATTCAACAAAAGCATAAGAGTGGTTTGGTTGCTAGTAGCATCTTAATCTTAATTTTTGAAATGAATGTATGGACAACGTGCAAAGTGAAAATGTTAGGTACAAAATGGCATGATTATTTGATAAAACTAATGTTCATCGTGTCCACATTTCATCAAAGTGGCATGGGACTGATGGGAGCCGTGGCTTATTTATTCCTTCGATTTTTTTATATACACATTATCTACAGCAACAAATTAATAACAAAAACAATGAAGAATATGTTAATTTAGTATATGATATTACTCCATACAATAGCGAAACTTGGTTCTACAGATTGTCACAGTTACATGTATATAGGCTTATTGTCTTTGGAAAAACATAGATAGGGAAATAATGAAGTATCCTGACTCAGTTGGATTTGTTCAAATGGAGGTGGTTCAACAATGGACTGATAAAACAGGTCTAGTTTATAGATGCAATGTAAGAAGCATGCATCACTTTTATAAATCTAATATAGTAGTTTATGGGTGAAAACAATCTTAGGAATAACCTGCATGGTCTGAATAATGCTGTACACTCTCAAATTGTGATCTTATTCTTTGTTCTTGTTTTTTAATTTTTTAAGCATTGGGAGAGTATTAAAGAAGGATCAGTATCTGGTAAGGGACTCTGGCTTATGAAGAGAAGTGATCATGCCAGTGCAATTATCAATAGCATCTCTACCTCACCTGCACTAGTCGTGATTGGTGGACGAGATATTCACAATCAACTAATGACTGAATGTTTATTACTTAATAATATCACTACTGGTCAGTTCAGTTGTAAGAAGGTATGTGTACATGTATGTATGTCAGTATTGTAATTGTGCAATTAATATTGGAGGAAATGTTGCTACTATGATTACCATGTGCATGTTTGGAAATTTATACTTTAGAAAATTGTGATTTAATTTCTATGTAATAAGATTGTGTCATGTATTACTGTGTAGCAGAAAATTTTGTGCCCCAAAATTTCTGTGGATTTCGTGTTTTTTTTTCAAAATTCACAAAAAATGGATTTAATACTGTTCAAGATGGCCGAAAATTAGAAAACCATGAAAATTAAAGACATGAAATTGATTTTTGAACGGATTTGTGAAATTTTTGAGCCACGAAAATTTTCCGCTATACGATATTTGAATGTGGCATAAAATGAGATATGTGATCTAATTTTTGCAAAATGAAAGTCGTAGTAAAAAATTTCAGATAGACTGTAATTTATAAAAATGTATCAATGATTGTCTATAGATTTCTCTACCTGAATCAGTTACTGCTAGATACGATCACTCACTCACAGCAGTCACAATGTCATCAAACTGTGTGTGGCTAGTAATTGTTGGAGGGTTTGTTGAGTTAAAATTGAACATTTTTGGAGGAGAGAATACACATATCACTGATACTAATAGACTAACAATGATAGTTGAATTTGGTAAGATAAGAGTAAACTTATTGTTAGATAATCGATGCATGGGGGGTTGTTACTCTGTAACTGAACGTCTTGTTCTTCTTATTTAGTGTATGAAGCTGGTGAGTGGATAGTACAGTCAGTACTGGATGGTAATGATCTCGGTAGTAAGAAATATCAAGAAAAGTATGAATCGTACAGCAAGACCAGAACATGGTGGATGGATCAGGTAGTAGAATATCCCACAGAGAAGGAAGCTGAACTACAGAGATACATCCAGTTATTGCATCAAAAGCTGGCTGAAACCAATAAACAAGGTATATATTCATACATTTTATTTGTATACCGTATTTCCTTAAATAAAAGCCCGGGCGTCTATTTCCTAAAATAGTATTTGGTCCTCGAAAAGATATTTTTAAAAAAATTTGGCACAGAGCGAGATTTGAACCCGTGACCTCATGCTTTTGACTACTGCAGCTTCAGGCAGTATCCACAAGAGCACTGAGTTACTCACAGGCAAGATTCGCACATTTATAGTTCAATTCTATTGCTACCCCAGCATTTATTCACATTTGGCTTCTATTTAAGGATATACAATACATTGATATTAATTCAATTGTGATTAATTGTATGACTATGTTTCAAATTCAGCTAAAGTTGATGATAATAATAAATTGGAAGAGGTGTTAAAAGCACAGGTACAGTTACACAAAGAGAAACAGGTTCTTAGTGGTTAGTGTATCATCATGAGTACATAATATTAGATGAGATCTATTAATGTAGAAGATATTGAGGAAGAAAAAAGTAGAAGAACTGTATCTCAAGGAGAAACAAATCACTAAAGGTTACCATGTGCGCAATGTGCATGTTATGTGAAAGAATATTCCTTTTTAGAATTAAAAACGAAAGTTGTTGTTAATGAAGTACATATAACTGACTTGGAGGAAGAGAAGGAAAAAAGGGAGGAGCAATATTGTAATGAGAAACAGATCACTGATGGTGAGAATATTGTTATCATGAGGAAAATCAATGTTTAAAGTAGAACTTAAAAGCAAAGTAGCTGATAATGAATTGTATACTTCCAAACTAATGAAGGAGAAGGAGCAACTACAAAAGAAAATTACATCCTTGGAGGAACATTTTATCAAAGAAACTGCATGCAATTCTATTGGATTACAATTTAACTACTTGATTCCTTCAATGGGTAGGTGTTATTATATGAATTATATATTTTATACAATTGATAGATAATTTGGAATGCCTGAGTGATGTCCAGGTAGCAGAGAAGAAGCTGTTCTTAATTCAAGGAGACAAACCTCAACTGATGAATTGGGAGAAATATGGTCTAAGGATTGGAGTACAAGAAGGAAGCCTATTGTCCTCTGAGACAGTAGAAGCAGCAGTGGTTGCTCTTGTAGGAGGACAGTTCCAGTTTCCTCCTAATACTGTCCTAGTGAGTGCTGTGTATGCAGTATCACTCTCAAAGCCTCTCCTTAAACAACTCAAGTTAGAGATACAGCATTGCATTGATTTAACAGGACAACCAGATCTTGCACAATATTTAAAGTTTGCTATAGCTCCCGTGAGCACACCCAGTCTTCCTTACCACTTCGCAATAGTTGAGGGAGGAGAGTTTAACTCTGATGGTGGATATGGATTCATTGAGCGTAAAGATTTCTGTTTGGTGTGCATACTGGGATTGCTAATAGTATC